ACGTACCCAACCCACATGCATCAAGTGGCAAGAGGAGTAGGCCAACATTAGCAGGAACAACGATAATGTAGGCGATGTGAATTGCTGTGCAAACTACATGGGATGCGCACGCATTGCACGGCTCACAGGACGACGATCGAAAGAACGAGGATTAAAGCCCCAGGCTCGCGTATGACGTCACTCCGCTGGGCCACCCATCAGCCCTCGAAAGTGGTGACAGTTTCGCAGATCGCAGCCCCCCAAGGATGGCGAGGTCTAATCTGAATCCGAATATGTCCCCACTCCGCTGGGCCCTCCAGCAGTCCTCGAAAGTGGCGACAGTTTCGCAGATCGCAGCCCTTCGGGGATGGCGAAGTCGAGCCTGAGTCTGCGTAGGACCCACTCCGCTGGCCCCCCAGCAGCCATCGAAAGTGGCGACGGTTTCGCAAATCGCAGTCCCCCAGGAATGGCGAGGTCGAATCTGAGTACCCCACTCCGCTGCCCCCCCCAGCAGCCCTCGAAACTGGCGACAATTTCGCAAATCGCAGCCCCCCCCCAGCGATGGCGAGGTCTAATCTGAGTCCCCGTGGGGGCTCACTCCGCGTGGGCCCCCCAGCAGCCCTCGAAAGTGGCGACAGTTTCACAGATCGCAGCCCCCCCAGGGATGGCGAGGTCTAATCGGAGTCCCCGTCCCCGTGGTGCCTCACTCCGCTGGACCCACCAGCAGTCCTCGAAAGTGGCGACAGTTTCACAGATCGCAGCCCCCACAGATGGCGAGGTCTAATCTGAATCCCCGTGGTGCCTCACTCCGCTGGACCCACCAGCAGCCCTCGAAAGTGGCGACAGTTTCACAGATCGCAGCCCCCCAGAGATGGCGAGGTCTAATCTGAGTCCCCGTGGTGCCTCACTCCGCTGGACCCACCAGCAGCCCTCGAAAGTGGTGACAGTTTCACAGATCGCAGCCCCCCCAGAGATGGCGAGGTCTAATCTGAGTCCCCGTGGTGCCTCACTCCGCTGGACCCACCAGCAGCCCTCGAAAGTGGCGACAGTTTCACAGATCGCAGCCACCCCCAGAGATGGCGAGGTCTAATCTGAGTCCCCGTGGTGCCTCACTCCGCTGGACCCACCAGCAGCCCTCGAAAGTGGCGACAGTTTCACAGATCGCAGCCCCCACAGATGGCGAGGTCTAATCTGAATCCCCGTGGTGCCTCACTCCGCTGGACCCACCAGCAGCCCTCGAAAGTGGCGACAGTTTCACAGATCGCAGCCCCCCAGCCCCCAGGGATGGCGAGGTCTAATCTGAATCCCCGTGGTGCCTCACTCCGCTGGACCCACCAGCAGCCCTTGAAAGTGGCGACAGTTTCACAGATCGCAGCCACCCCCAGAGATGGCGAGGTCTAATCTTAGTCCCCGTGGTGCCTCACTCCGCTGGACCCACCAGCAGACCTCGAAAGTGGCGACAGTTTCACAGATCGCAGCCCCCAGAGATGGCGAGGTCTAATCTGAGTCCCCGTAAGACGTCACTCCGCTGAACCCCCCAGCAGCCCTCGAAAGTGGCGACAGTTTCACAGATCGCAGCCCCCCAGGGATGCAAGAGAAAAGAGGAGGAGGAGGAGGAGAAGGGAGGAGAGGAGGGGGACGGGAAGGAGGAGAAGGGAAGACGCGACCGGAGGGAGGGTTGGGAAAAATACCCAAAACATATTCAAAAAATTGTCCCCAGACTATTGTTTGACTACTTTTGAATATTCCTCCTGTAGAAGGACGGGCCCGACCTAAGTCAAGAGGTCCGAAGCATGGCAAGCTCGCCCGTTGTGAAAACATCGCGAGTCCAGGATCTCGGGGATCCCTGGCCCTGCGGGGATCCCTGGCCCTCCGGGGATCCCTGGCGGCGCCTCCAGCGCCTATCGCGGGATTTCAGCGCGGAGCTTCGGACATTTGTGTATGCCGTTGATCGTTGTTATGCCTCTCTCTCTCTCTCTCGCTGCTCGTGCTTCTCCTCCGCCTCCTGCTCCTCTCCTGGTAGGCCAAGAGGTTTCTGAGATCCGATGCTGCCCTCCCTCCCTCCCTCCCTCCCTCCCTCCCTCAATCCGCCTCCTCCGGCAAGCCGCGCAGGTTTCTCTCGCGCTTGGTTCGCACAAACAATTTCACGGCCTCTCCGAGGCACTGCGATCCGCCTGCGCTTGCACGCCACCGCAGACGCACACCACGAGCCGCCGAATCGGCGGCCCGCGGGGGGGCCCGCCGCGCCCCCCCCCCCCCCCCCAGGGAGGAGGAGGAGGAGGAGGAGGAGGAGGAGGAGGAGGAGGAGGAGGAGGAGGAGGGAGGAGGAGGAGGAGGAGGAGCAGGAGGAGGAGGAGGAGGAGGAGGAGGTCTGGGCCGGGAGGGACGAGCCCGCGCCCCTGTCCGAACAGCTTCTGCCTGGGCCGAACCGCAGTTTTGCCCGGTCCCGGCCTTCGCGGCTGCCCGAGCAACACGTCTCGGCTCGGTCCCAGCGGAACCTGCCCTTCGCGCCCCGGTGGCCGACCCGTGGCTCCTCCCGAGGCGGAGTCAGGATTCGGGAGCGGCAAAGAGGGGGGCGTCAAAGAGGGGGGGGTGCAAATCATGACCGGCGGCATGTGCGCGGCCCAGCAGCCCTGAGCATCCGGCACCCACAGAAAAGAAAGGATAAGCTATGTTTAAGTTCTGCACCTTAACTTAAAATGAACTTACCTTAGAACGTACTTAAGTTACTTAGTTCGTACCTCAACTTAGACTTAGAACAAAATTAGAAGTGCACTTAAAACGCACTTAGTTTGCACTTAGTTTGCACTTAGTTTTTGGCCTGGTGTTGGGATGTTGTTTCGCAGTTAACGTATGCGGGCACAGCCGCGAAGTTTGAGCTACGTCATGCCACGTCTGCTAATCAGCGTTCTCTTTCCGATGTTGTTCGGCCCCTCGGTTTCTGGATTTTTGGTTGAAGGGCTTCGTTGGCCCATGGGCCCCTAGGATCCTGATGGGTCCCAGGGGCGCGCGCCTGGACCCCTTGGGTCTTGGATTCCTGGGTTCCTGTGCCCTGGTGGGAGAGCGAGGAGGAGGAGGAGGAGGAGGAGGAGGAGGAGGAGTAGGAGGAGGAGCCATTGCCGTTTTGGCTCAAGCCATTCAGAGGGCATCTTCATCTGACGAGAAAGGATCCACTTTTTGGACGCGGCTTCTGATGAAGCGCCCAGCTGCGGCCAAGGCGATGCCCGCGGCGAAGCTCCTCAGGCCAGCTGCTTGGCACGACCAGGACAAAGACGAGGAGGACGACACCGACGAAGGGCCTCTGGTGAGCATCGCCGCCACGCGCGGCAAGGGCAAGAACACCCTCAACGACGACGAGGACGCAGAGGACGGAGCAGCTGATTCCCGCACGACGACTCGTGCCCAGAGGCACACCTTCGCGAAGAATCGCCACCTCTTCGATCAGGCCTTGGTGGCCCAGTTCGACAAGCTGATGGACACAGCCAACAAGACCGTCGGCAAGCAGGCGCAGATCAACCAGATCATCAACAGCTGCGTCACGAGGAAGGCTGCTGGCGGTGTGGGTGTCTTGATCAAGGCACGCTCGGTGAAGCGCTTCCAGCGCAGCATGATGCGCGACGAGAACAAGGAGACGGCGCACGGCCTTGGATGGTGGAGTCTCGTCGGGACGAAGTTCGGCGGCTCGGAGTCCTTGGCGCAGAAAGCGCTCGACGCAGGGGAGGTCTACCAGGCAGAGGACACGGGGCTCTACTACCAGAAGTCCCACACCATCGAGCGGACGAGAGTCCAGGAGAAGGGCTACAAAGGGCGAGGAGGACACGGGCGGCCTGCTCTCGACGGACGAGTTCGCGCAGGCGTTGTGCGACCAGGAGGAGCAGCTCACCGCGGAGCCTCTCGGCGACTGGTTCAAGCAGTGCCAGAAGGGGGCCCCCAAGAAGATCGCGGGGGCGCAGGCGGACGACGGCGACTTCACGGTCATGCAGGACTCCTACTCCTACTCGTGCTCCTGGTGTTATTCCAACCCTACTGATACTCCTACTCTTACTCATGCTCCTACCCCCCCTCCTCCCACTCATAATCCTGAGAGGGAGTGGGAGGAGAGGTAGGTGGGGGAAGGTGCATGGGGTATGAGTAGGAGTGGGAGTGGGTGCTACCCGCAGGAGAGCTTCGACGCGGTCTCGAGGGTGACTCTGGCCCTGCGCCGCTTGGGCACCAAGATGATGGCCGCCGAGGGCAACTCCGAGACCACGAAGCTGATGTCTGGGAGGGCCATCAGCTTGTGCAAGGCCGTGGCGGGGCCTAGCGAGGCCATCGAGGGCCTCCTGGTGGCCCAGGGCGAGGCCAGGCGCAACATCTCGAAGGCGGACGTGGCGGAGGCTCTCAAAGCCATGGGCGTCCCGTACAAGCAGATGGTCGAGCTCTTCAATGAGATCGTGATCCAGGTGAAGTCCGCGGCCAAGGGCAGCAAGACCGCCGACGCGGCCAAGGGCTTGAAGCCGATCAAGCTTTAGGTCAGCGCTGAGGGCGCTTCGAAGAGAATGAGAAGGATAGAAGGATGATGTTTTCGCTCCAAAAAAAATGTTTGGGTGCGTTTGGCGCAACCAGTGGGGCCGAGTCGATTTTGGCCCCCAGGGGCTGATTAAGGATTGAACCGAGCGAAACTACGTTTCGATTGAGCCGAGTGCTCGACGCGGCGCACGGCGCGCCGCGCGCAGGAGGCCGAGGCAGAATGGTTCGCCTCGTGCTACTCCTTTTTTCTTTCCTCTCAACCCCTGCTACTTATCCCCTCCTGACCCTGATTCTCGCGCTCGTTCTGATCGCCCTCTCCCCGTCCTGCCGCTCGTCCCATCTCGGGGCCCCTCTGGCTGCCTGCCGTTCCCGCTCGGCGCGATTGCCGCGCCGCCTGGTCTCGCCCTCGTCTCGGGCAACAGAGCCCCGACCGAGCCCGCGAGAAGCGAGCGAGCCCAGCGATGGGCCCAGCAGAAAACATATGTAAAATCTGGTGCGCTGAAACAACTGGCCCCTGAAGGGGGCCCTGGGGCCATGAAATCACGTGGCCCATGGGGGCCCGACAAGGGAACCTGGGGGCCACAAAGGAATCCTGGTGACCATGTCGCATATATGTTGTAGATATGTTGTAGATTCGTTGTAAATTTTTGAAATCTACAACGAATCTACAACGCGATGGTGTAGATGCTTCGTAAATGTCAAAATCTACACCGAATCTACATCGCTCATCCTTGAACAGCTGTCTGTAAGGTTAGTCTCACGTGCGTTCAGAGTGTCACAGAGTGTTCAGGGTCTGTCTGAAAGTCTGAATCGAAAGAGCGGGGCGGGGTGAAACGGCCAACATTCGCACCCCTCCTTATCATCGTGGCCGTTTTGGCTCAGCTGGCTTCCTTTGGCGAGCCCTGAACTTTACACTGGGATCGAAACGCCCTCGCCAGGTTGCGAACCCAGATGTTGCAGAATCCGACTACGTGTCTTGCTTGAAAGATTTCGCTGGCGGTAGATCACTCGAGTCCGTGCTGCAGCCTTTGAACACAGATATCAATAGGTTGACACCTGTTCATGTGATCAGATCGTATAAGCTGTTGGAGTCGTTGATGAAAAAAGGAGTGTGGAATGGAGTTATATGGACGTCTCGGTTCATGATAGCTACAAAGGCAGTGTGCAGTGACGGAAGTGAGCTCACTGCGACGAACATCACCAATCACGTCAGGAATTGCTTCAGCAAGGTTAGGCAGATCAAGTTGGACGAAACTTCGAGCGACGGTAAAACCCGTTCCAGGAAGTCGTCACCATTCCTGCGGCGGTGCGGGGCCGCCGACAGAATCGCGATCGACGCCCTCGTCGGAATGATGAAGCTCACGCAGCTGAGCGATGTACCCACCAAGACGCCCGATCCCAAGAAGCCTGTGGATTCGCCGCTATCAGGTTCGGCGCCGCCAATGTCCCCGACCCCGCGCGGCGCGGCTCTATCAGACAGCGGTTCGATGCGTGACTTGTTCAAGACAGGCTTGCGGCAGGCCGAGGAGATGGAGCGTGACTTGACCGAGTGTTCAAGCTTGGCGTCGCTGGCGACAGTGCCGTCTACCATAGCTTACCCAGAGCACGCGGCGAAGTTCGATGAAGATGGGTTTCCGCAGATGTCACCGAGATCTGACATATCTGTGGTATCTCAGCCATCGTGTCGCTCTGTTGCACCGTCTCGTTCGATGAGCACGCAAGACTTCATCGACGGCCACGAGATTCTCGACGCCCCCGATGTTGGCCCAGAGAAAACATCGAAGCCCGACAAATTCGACGAGCCACCAGACCCTTGCACGCAGCGCCGCAGGAAGGAGATTCTTCGTGTGCGCAAGGAGGCCAAGGCGACGCAGTCTATTACAGACCGCGCCAAGAAGCTCACGGTGCCAGATCCCAAGAAAAAAAAAACCATCAAGACAACGGGCGACCCCCCCGAGGATCGCAAGCTCATCAATCCGAAGTTGGCGAAGACAAAGGGTCGGGCCTTGTAAGCGTGAGAGAGTTCTGGCAGAGGGAAGAGGGTGTAAGGAATCCCCGCCATCCGACCCCCCCTCCACCCCCTAAACAAAATTAGCCTGGCGAAGGACCCAACCATATGCAACTGTGAATACCGCAAGTGTGAATATCGTTTTCGGCGGCGCTACCTCTGGGTAGTGGAGACGCATGCGAACACCCCCACTGGGGCCTTCGGTGGAGCTCCCTCTGGGGCTACGAAACGCTGCCCTGGGTGGGGGAACCGCATGCGGGCACCCCCACTGGGGCCTACGGTGGAGCTCCCTCTGGGGCTACGAAACGCTGCCCTGGGTGGGGGAACCGCATGTGGACACCCCCACTGGGGCCTTCGGTGGAGCTCCCTATGGGGCTACGAAACGCTGCCCTGGGTGGGGGAACCGCATGTGGACACCCCCACTGGGGCCTTCGGTGGAGCTCCCTCTGGGGCTACGAAACGCTGCCCTGGGTGGGGGAACCGCATGTGGACACCCCCACTGGGTGGGGGAACCGCATGTGGACACCCCACTGGGGCCTTCGGTGGAGCTCCCTATGGGGCTACGAAACGCTGCCCTGGGTGGGGGAACCGCATGTGGACACCCCCACTGGGGCCTTCGGTGGAGCTCCCTATGGGGCTACGAAACGCTGCCCTGGGTGGGGGAACCGCATGTGGACACCCCCACTGGGGCCTTCGGTGGAGCTCCCTATGGGGCTACGAAACGCTGCCCTGGGTGGGGGAACCGCATGTGGACACCCCCACTGGGGCCTTCGGTGGAGCTCCCTATGGGGCTACGAAACGCTGCCCTGGGTGGGGGAACCGCATGTGGACACCCCCACTGGGGCCTTCGGTGGAGCTCCCTATGGGGCCACGAAACGCTGCCCTGGGTGGGGGAACCGCATGTGGACACCCCCACTGGGGCCTTCGGTGGAGTGGGGCTACGAAACGCTGCCCTGGGTGGGGGAACCGCATGTGGACACCCCCACTGGGGCCTTCGGTGGAGC